AGGGAAAAAGGGGAAGAAAGATAAAGAGGGGGGATGAAAAAAGAGAAACCTGATTCTATGAGGGGGAAACAATTCAGAGAACATTACAAAAAAAGAACTTAAAAATAAAAACAAAACCTTAATTTAAAAAGAAAAAAGATATTATATGTTCGTCTCTTGTTATACTAGCAGGATCCACTGAACCCAAGTTTAGTTTCTGAGTTTCCTTTTTTAGTAGTTCTAACAAATGTAAGGAGGTTACTTCATGACATTTTTTCTATCTTAGCAGTCTTCCAAAGATCACAAAAAAAGACAAATTTTACTTTTTTAAATAGAATAAAACACATTTTTTTTTGCCACTGTCATATGGCTCTACCATACCTTTTTAAAATCTAAGATACATAGGGGATCTTAGTCATCTGTTTCTTCATGTGAAGTTTGTCAGTATATTTAATCTAACTTTATAAGTACTTTCCTTGCAGGTGTACACACACACACACACACACACCACACACACCAGTTCTATTCAATTACTGAGCTGCAGGCCCCAAAAGACTTACAATAGCAGTATTCTTCAAAATATCATCTACCTGCTGCAGAGCAAGTTCTCTGGGATGACATAACTAAACATCAGGATGCTCTTAGAATCTCCTAAGATTATCTATAAAGTAATGAGGAGTTCAAAATAAAATACCATTTTATATACTTTGATTTTGTACTTAAATATGAATATACTTTTGAGAAGCAAACACAATTTCAGATTGAAAAAAACAAGTGTCATTTTAAAAATCTGTCCAATAATTTGCACTCAAGAACAATAAAGACAAGTAGCAATCTAAATGAAATATTAAATAGCTTTTAGGTTCTTTCAATTGGCAATAGATCCATGACATGACCGGAAAACAAGGTACCCGTTTATTTTTTAACATTTTTTTTACTGATTTTAGAAGAATGGAGAGGGAGAGAAAGATAGAAACATCGATGAGAAAGAAACATCCATCAGCTGCCTCTAACCAGGAATGGAACCAGTGACCTCTTAATGCCTGGGGCAACACTCAACCAACTGAGTCACACTGGCTGGGCACAAGCTACCCATTTTAACAAATACTAAAAAGGCAAACTACTAAAGTAAGTTCTATTTAACTACTCTAAGCAGTGTCCTACCAAATACAAACATACATACATACATACATATATAATCCTTAAATAATAACTATATAAAATGAAAATATTCATTTCCCATGATCCACTTTTTACTTATCCCCAAATGAAGAAAAAATTAACTTGTGGAATTAGGGACAACTAATAACTTCACATTTTAATAATAAAGTTAAAAGACTAAGAAGATAAATTTATAGTCTATTTTCTCAACAGCTAACATCAGCAGGGAAGGTACAAACAGTAAAAAGACCTTTAATAAGTCAGTATTCTTACTTTACCGAAAGAGTACATAATATCTAAAAAGATATTCAACCTTTACAGTAATGACTTTAACTACTTTAACGCATTAGTAAGACTTTATAGTTAAACTGTTGACAAAGTACTTAACTACTTTAACACTTAGGTAATACTTCATGTAAGTTGATATAAATATGGAAAAGATAACAAATGATAAATTAAGCCCTATGCCTGTAATCTTGAGCAATTCACCTAATTTCCTCAGTATGATTAAGTGTAAATTGCCTTGGAGTTTTATTATAAGAAAAAGCTGGTAGCACATCTAAGCAAGGTCCTTAATCAAAGAATCATCCATGGATAAATTATGTAACCCCCACAAAAAATACCTCCTGAAAGCTGCTTCACCATTTCATCTACTACAGCACTGCTTTTAAACGAATCAGTATTTCAGCTACAGCTTTCTGCTCCTATAAAAGTTTATTATTGAAACATTCAAGTAAAAGCTATGAAGGCAAATCACCGAATCAAGGTCATACTATATGCTACAATCTTTGTTTCACAAGGAAACATTATACAACACATATAACAGCATTCCCTTTAATAGGTGGTGTGAGGTTATATAATTTCCCTTTGTGTTTTTATTATATTGCAAATGATCATGGGAAACAGGAAAGAGAAGAAAGCATGATCACGATGATCTTTTGATATATATATAGTGACAGAGATTAAATAAATAGGTAGGCAGGTACGCAGATAGGTATTCCAAGAGTTCACAGTTCATAACTGCTATTCTGGAATTACAAAGACGAACAATGGTCTCTATCTTCACAAAGGTTGTATTTAAAACAAGAAAGACCAAACAACAAAAATATATTTTAAAATACCTATAAAAGTATATTGACATTCAGTAATAAAAATTGGTACCTGCTACAATATGAACCTCAAATCATACGCTAAGTGAAAGAAGCCAGAAGCGAAGCCTGTATGTTCTGTGAGTCTTCTATATGAAGTATCCAGAAAGATATACAGACAGAAAGAAAATTAGTGGTTACCTAGGACTGGGGATGGGAATGAGGATTGGCTGCAAACAGAATAGAGACTTTGGGGTATGGTGTTTCTTGCGTATGCTGTCCCCATGCATCAAAATAAAATTATCTTCTTGGTTAAATCAGTTAGCATCAACCATCCAAATCTCAGCATTGAAGTTTGGCTAGCATATCTTGTTAACTATCATCTCCTCTTCCTTCATTAAAATCAGACCTTTTTTAAACTTGGAGTTTAATTGTAACTTCAGAGGGAGCAAATATAAACACAGGCACTCTACTGTCTGAATCCTTCTAAAATGTGATGAAAACCATAATCATGAATGAAATCAGAAGTAGGCAAACATGGCTGTGGGCCAGCAGCCCATTGTTATTAAGTTTTACTGCAATATAGCATAACCGGTACCACTTTTAATTCCACATTTATACAACAGAGAAGATACTACATCACATTTAGGGCATCCTGTAAATGTAAACAACAATCAATATGGAAGACATAACAGAATGTAGTAAATAAGAACTAAAATATTATTTAGAGGGTCATGCCCCTGAAGAATACAGGCAATACAAATTACACAGAACAAAATGTTTCATTTACAACTGTAGTTTAGTACTATGTTATATCTCCAAACTCCTTTTAGTCTTAATTTTATATTTTAAAAGATATCATTAGCAGAAGGTGGGAGTGAAATTAGTCCCTCATGGAGAAAATCTTCCTCATGACTTTAGAGTCTTTTATGGTTTAAAAGTGGCTCAGTGGTTGAACACTGACTTATGAACCAGGTCACGGTTCGATTCCTGGTCAGGGCACATGCCTGGGTTGCAGGCTTAATCCCCTGTAGGGGCTGTGTAGGAGGCAGTTGATCAATGATTCTCTCTCATCATTGATGTTTATATCTCTCCCTCTGCCTTCCTCTCTCGAAAAATCAATAATAAAAAGAAAATGTCTCAAGCTTTAAAAAAATTAAGCTATTTTATTTATATTTTAAATATGTTTTTATTGATTTCAGACAGAGGAAGGGAGAGGAAGAAAGGGATAGAAACATCAATGATGAGAGAGATGTTTCTGTACGCCTCCTACTGGGGATCGAGCCTGCATGTGCGCTGGCCGGGGATCTAACTGAGACTTCCTGGTTCATGAGTAAATGCTCAACCACTGCACAATACTGGCCGGACTAAGCAATTTTTTAAAATCTGAGAAAAAGCTAAAATTAAAATTCTCTATATGTGTTATCTAAAAAAATATGATCAATGTTATTTGTACAAGACAAAAAACTGCATTTTTTACTCCAGTTAGCCAGCTCGCTAAAGCAAAAGTAAATGTGAGGCTTTCAGAGAAGATAATTGCTATAAAATCTCAAAATACTATGAAGGCAGCATCACTATCTTCCTATTTGAAAGAGGCCACAGTATGTACCACTGATGATCCATTATCAAAATCAATTTTGATAATACAATGATCTTTTAATATTTGCTGTTTACATAATCTCTGAGAAATTCTCAGTTTTTCATAATGAATGTTACCACAATTGAATAACAACATATCTGTAGCTTTTTTAACAACAGGACTGATAAACTTCTGCAAAAATTAAATCTACAACTTCTTCAAGACTGAATATAAAACTTTGGAAATAAAGCATTTGATACCTTATATAAGGTTGCAGTCTGCTACAGGTCATATGTAATCACTATTACTAATGATGAGAGAAAAGTCTCTAAAAAAAATTTGTCAAAAAGATGCTAAATTGTACCAAATTGCCTCTACCACATTGAATGTAACAATTATAAAATAAATTTTAATAAAAAATTTCAGCTAATGATATATAACAGCATAAATTTTCCACCTACCTAAATTTGAGTGGCATAATGGTAATTTTCCTCCGCATAAGTAGTTATGTACATCTATATGTGATATTTAAATGTGTATTACAAAATAATTCTTTATCCTAATAAAGAGGGAATATGCTAATTGACTGCCCCACCCTCAAACATGGCAGCGCCCACAGCCACAAGATGGTGGTGCCCAGTCCCCTCAGCCCCAGGGCTGCCCGAGGCTTGTGATGCCAGCAGTGGCAGCAGCAGAGGTGTGATGGGGGAGTCGCCTTCCCGATTGCCAGGTCACCTCCCACCCCTGAGAGCTCCCAGACTGTGAGAGCGGGCAGGCCGGGCTGAGGGACCCCGCTCCAGTGCATGGATTTTCATGCACTGGGCCTCTAGCATAGTATAAAAAAGGCACAGCTGTGGATTGTTCCTGTACATTTATTCTGGTACTTTTCAGTGCTAATACTAATGAAGGTGTTCATTTCCTGAACATAAAACCAGTGCTATTTGTTTGACTCACCTGTAGCATGTTGAAGGAAGGGTTCTATCATCAGAAATAAAAATATAGGTTTAACTACAGTTATCACATAGACAGTTCTAAAAATTTACCATCTTGCTAGTAGTATTTCAACGAATATGAATGATAAAACTGATGACACTTTAATTTAGTATCTCAAAATAAATACAGAAATATCTGTCACAACAGATGGCTTATTACTACTCATGATTTTTTAAATGAGAGAATCCTGGATCTGCTGCCTCCTGCAAGTACCCTACTGGGATCCAGCCCACATCCTAGGCATGTGCCCTTGACCGGAATTGAACCTGCGAGTTCAGTTCGCAGGCCGATGCTCTATTCACTGAGCCAAACAGGCTAGGGGGCTCATGATTTTTTTAAATATGGGATTGGATCCAACTACACATATCTGATAGACATACAGGACATTATGAATATACTAGTGGTCTGGTGCACGGATACGTGCACATTGAAAGGAAAATAATTAGAAGAAATATTTTAATATTGTTATTTGCCCTTTCTCTGTAATGGACATTGGTCGCCATCTGTGGGGTGATCAGTGGGGCAATTGGGCCCGTCCAGCTCCCTCAGTGCTGGGTGCCAGGTGGTGAACCTGCCTCCTGCCACTGGTCACCGACTGTGGAGCAATTGGCCCCCACGCGCACCTGCCTTGGCCCTGGTGTAGCCCACTCACCTGCTCCACCATCCCACCCTTGTCGGGACCCACTGGGGCCGGCAGCGCCTCCACTGTTGCCTGTTGCCGGCGCTGCATCGCCGATGCCTGCCATATTCGCACCAGCCCCTGGTGGTCAGCGCATGTCATAATGAGCGGTCGACCTCCTGGTCGAGGGGACAATTTGTATATTAGGCTTTTATTATATAGGATAATAAGTATTATAGTTCCCTAATGCTTTCATTATATGTACATGATTTAATAACGTTGAAGAAATTTATTATGCTAATAATTTAAAATTAATATTGAGTCATCAATATTTTTAAAGTTCTACTTTTATTCTATATTACTATCATTTTATTATTTTTGATAATATGTTTACTGATTAATTTACTAAAAACTGTTAATGATAAGAATTAGCAACATATCAAGTGCAAAAAATTTTTTAAGTTATATCTTTAAACAAGTTCGGTGGACATTATTACCAGCAATGTGGCTTATCCTCAATTTTGCAGGCCAATTACAGCCAGCCGGATAACACTTGCAAGTGGAGGAGGATCAAAGTTATCATTTCTTTATAGCAAATTCCCAGAATGAGCACATGTAAGATTCAGAGAGGGAAAAAATCTGATGGTCAGAAGAAACTACTAAGATGAAAGTATACAAAAATGTATGTCGAATGGTATGATGGGGTGGGAAATGAAGACTTGGAAAAAATAAAGTCAAATGAAAAAATATATTTCAGTGAGAACATCTTTGTGTTCCCAACATGAGCCACAGTTCCCGGCAGGTAGTAAAGTATTTCATCAACACCACCAATGATCCACATTTTTAACATATCTAAAATTTGATCACAACTTATATTTTAAAGTGAAGCATAGCTTAACTGGCAGTGCTCTTCTCTTCTTAACCACACAGAATAATGCCTTTTACAAATAATGTTTCAGATTAGATTAAATAGAGTAATGTTGATTTAGTTCAACTGAATTAAATCAAGGTAAAAGTGTGTTGTCTATCCTATATAATGAAAGCCTAATATGCAAATTGACTTAACAAAGGAACAACCAGTCGCCATGATGTGCACTGACCACTAGGGGGCAGATGCTCAACACAGGAGCTTCCCCCAGCCCACAAGCCCCAGGCCAACACATGAGTGTGGGTTGGCAATTGTAAATATGACTTGAGCTTCTGAGACAGGATACTGAAACTGTATTCCTGAAAACAATAAAACAGCGCCAGTTTATTAGAATCTTGACCAGTTTTAATACCTACCAGTTCCTTTGCTGAGATATGGAGGCTTAAAGAACTTCACAACACCATAGACATTGACAATCATGCCACCTTTGAGTTCATTCAGCGGTGTGTACGTATAACGTGTTGCTGGAACCTGAAGAAAAAACAGTAAATAAGTCAATATTAAGTATTTACATTTTAGAATCATATTATGATCAAAGAAGATAATATGGTCATCTAACCACATTTTTTTTCTTTTGAGTGTCTGATAAGAGGCTGAAGCTTGAAAAAGGAAATGTATAGCTTAAAAGGTTGCTATATAAACCACTAGTATTAATTTTTCTTAGGAATAACTTTGATCATAAATGGTATAATTTGTACACAATTCTAAGTAATGACATTTAAAAGATTTTGGTTCTGGTTTTTAACCCTAAGGAATATCACTTCAGAATTTGTGGGAAATAGATTTTACTTTGGCCTAAATAAAGCTAGGTTTTGATTATAAATGGTGTGAAGACATTAAAAATGGTAAGAGAAATGAAATTTTCTGAAATAACTGTATATAAGTTTGGAAAGAAAAGGGAAAGTGATTCCCAAGTTTAAGTCCACATATTTGTCAAACAATCCATAAAAGAGTTCATGCCCTAACCGGTTTGGCTTGGTGGATAGAGCGTCGGCCTGCAGACTGAAGGGTCCCAGGTTGGATTCCGGTCAAGGGCATGTACCTTGGTTGCAGGCACATCCCCAGTAGGGAGTGTGCAGGAGGCAGCCGAATCAATATTTCTCTCTCATTGATGTTTCTCTCAGATCGATGTTTCTAACTCTCTATTCCTGTCCCTCTCCCTTCCTCTCTGTAAAAAATCAATAATATCTACTATTAAAAAAAAGAGTTCAAACATCTGGTCCTACTACCCACCAATATACTATCTTAAGAATTATCTCTCTGCCAAAACCGGTTTGGCTCGATGGATAGAGCGTCGGCCTGCGGACTGAAAGGTCCCAGGTTCGATTCCGGTCAAGGGCATGTACCTGGGTTGCAGGCACATCCCCAGTGGGAGATGTGCAGGAGGCAGCTGATCGATGTTTCTCTCTCATTGATGTTTCTAACTCTCTATCTCTCTCCCTTCCTCTCTGTAAAAAATCAATAATATCTACTATTAAAAAAAAGAGTTCAAACATCTGGTCCTACTACCCACCAATATACTATCTTAAGAATTATCTCCCTAATGTATAAATGAATGACCATATCTATTTTGGTCATCTAAGTAATGTACTTGTTAATTCATAGCCAACAAACAACTTAACCATAATTTGGCTTTCCATGTAAATAAGTTAGTATATGTATGCAGAGCAGCTAAGTTATATCCTAATAGTTCAGAATACCTGGGCTTTCTGAATAACCACTTTCCTCAAGTTTAGAGGAACCTTTGTTTACCTCTGCCTTATTTATGGGTTCATGGATGGTTGAACCTGATCTATTTATACTAATTCTGAGAAATACTAATATTTGGGGTTAATTTACTTTTTTTAACAAAGTACATTAATTCTTTAATTGGTTATACTTTCCCTAAATCAAACATTCAAATTATACCATTATAGACTTATTCAGAATTTAAAACCTGTACCTAACAGTCACTGCCAACTAGAAATAAAATCTCTGAACTCTTGTTTGCCCACTAGAAACTAAGGGCTTAAGAACATAGTAGAATACAAATTTTGTATTAAACTTTATCATGACACTAAAAGCCCAGTGCAAGACATTCATGCACTGGGGGTGGGGTCCCTCAGCCCAGCCTGCGTCCTCTTACAGTTCAGGACCCCTCGGGGGATGTCTGCCTGCCGCAGGGGCAGGAGAGGCTCCCGTCACCGCTACTGTGCTCACCAATCATGAGCCCAGCGTCTGGCTGAGCGGTGCTCCCCCTGTGGGAGCGCACTGACCACCAGGGGGCTGCTCCTGCATTGAGCGTCTGCCCCCTGGTGGTCAATGCACATCATAGCGAACGGTTGTTCCGCCGTTCGGCCCATTTGTATATTAGCCTTTTATTATATAGGATTAGCTTCTTCCCATTTTCACTCAGCTACAAGTAGCTCACCTGTAAAAATGGGAACTTCCTAGTGTTATGATAATAAAATTTTATTAAATACTGAAAAAAGTGAGAAAAAAAGAAGAGCAAAATGTCTGACAAGCCTAACAAACTACTTCTAATTACATAATTCAACACATAAAAATCTGTTTAAATACAATCTGATTAAAATGAAAGAAATACATTTGGCTAAGGTTTAAAAGTAGTAGAAGTCCCAATGTCTTCACACAAAGAAAATTTTTTTCTGTTTCAGTTTCCTTATGCATGTAGCTTAGAGAAAACATCAGCAGATCTTCCAGACAACAGAATAACCAGGTAATAATTACTAGATAAATATATACCTTGAATGGACATCAGATATCAAAAAAGTAGAGATTATGTTTTCCCACTGAATCAAATACTACTTCAAAATCAGATTATAAATATACATATATATTCATGTGTGTATCTACAGTTGTATATATGTGGGTGTGTGTGTACATGTTCTAAATTAAAGTAAATATCATCTTACCAAAGACATTGACTCTGTAGAAAAATCTATTATAGATTTAATATAAACCTGAAAAAAAACACAGAAAGGGTTTATTTGTATACAACAACTTCCAATGTGGTTACAGACCTTTAATTATAGCAAAACCACACACTTAACTGTATATAATATTCAAACGCATCACAGTGGCATAAAGTTATGGCTTATAAATTAACAGTGACGTGCAAAGTTGTCTAAGCTAAGCTTCAGTCTAATTCATTAATTTTAATACCACAGGACAACCTCTAGCCCAATAATGCCCTGTGCATACTAGAGAGAAACAGGCAGATGTTGGCCTGTACGCACATGGCTTGAACCAACTCTATATGACAGCTCTCCTCAAACAGGTAGTCTCCAAATGTGTGTGGGGGTGGAAGGTGGGTCTGGAGGAGGGAAAAAGTAAAGACAGAGAGAATGAGCACCTTCATAAAGAATAAAATAGGAGGAAATCAGCTTTACCTAAAAAGGGATACTTGATCAACTTAAAAGTGCAATTCAATAGATCATCAAAGAGGCTGACAATATAACTGCAAAGAATAAGATGAAGTCTGGAGTGCCTGTGGAGTTTCAACATTTTCATCAATAAGTAACTATCTTTAAGGGATTTTTATTTTCTACCTGGAGTCATCTAAACATAAAGTCAGAAAAAATATTTTCTATTTTTAAAACTTAAAATATTAAATTAAAATAATTCAGTCAGGCTAAATAGTTTACCTGCAGATTTATAGAAACACTACTTCTATGCCATCACCTTACCTCATTAAAACCATAACATGAGTAGACTAAAAGTTACACACTTACATAAACAGTTGACTTGAAGTCCTCAAGTGCTTTCAAAAATAAGCAATGTTCACCATCTTTGCTTGTCGTAGGTGAAGACAAAACAATAAAACCAGCCACTGCAATGGTGTCCTACATAAAAAAAGTCTCCATTATCAAAATATCTATAATATTTTATTATTTATAAACAGGAATCACTGCTATAAAATGGAAACTGGTTTGCTGGACTTGTTTAATGCTTACGGAATATAAGACTGAGCCTACCACCTCTCCTAAAAGGGTATCAACAGTGCAGCCATAGATGATATAACATCCCATTTCATAGACCAGGAAAACACTAAATCATTTGGAAAATTCTATTTTTTTACTGGCACTTCAAAAATCAATGTTTATCTCAATTTATGTCAATAAGTTTGTACAAATAAACAAAATGAAGATAAAACACATGATCCAACAGTATTATGAGTGGAATTTAAATGAAACAATCTCAGACTTGAGAAAACTCAGTACAAAAACTCCACACTGTTACAAAGCTAATATATGTGCCTATAAATTCAGGGTATGGGACATAAGAAACTTCCATTTATAAACTATTCAGCAATGAAAATAAAAAGCAAATAGATAAATTCAGTAACAAAAATGTAAACAAGGACAGTGTATAAATTTGCTAATTTTCAATAGACGATACATTAAAACTCTCAGGCATTCTTAGTGAGGAGGGACAGGACACAGACAATATGAAACAACTAATAACCACCCAACAAAAACACTTATTTGACTTTAAAAGGCATTAAGTAATTTTTACTACACTGAGCCCATCTCACTAGTTACAAGTTGTGTTCCTCACTCTGGAATTACACCTTCTCATACTTCTGCATTTCAGGATCTCACTCAGGGTCTGTAAATACGCTGTTCTTTTCTTACTGATGCACTCTCACAGTACCCCTGCTCTCATTCTTTCTGCTACTTTTCTCATTCTGCTATTCAGTCTTCTCAGTTATATATTACAACTGGATAAAATAACTAATTCCATAATATTTAATTCCACTCTTCTCCACTAAACACTGTTCCATAGTGGCAAGGTCCATAACTGCCTTATTCAGTTAAGTCTCCGACACTTAGCATAGTAGAGGGCAGAAAACATTCAACAAATGTTTAGACAACTAAATGTATTATCAAACATATGAATGTAAATATAAAAAGAGAATACCTGTATTAAATCTTCAATAAGCTGAACTTACTACAAACCTTACTTAATAGCATCTTAGCATTGTAGGAATGGAAAAGGACCTTCATTTTTCAGAAAATAAGAGCCAGAAAGGATAAATGAGTAGCCTAAGGTCACATACAGCTAACTAATTATAGATCAACACAAAAATCCAGATCTCCTAACTTCCAAGACAGGCACTACTCTACTACTTCTCTCACAACCAAATCTTACAGAAATGAGAAAAATTGATTAATAAATGTCTACTTTTGGGCAGTTCTGTAATAAAATATTTTTAAAACTTTCAAAATACTTTGGAAAAGTCTTTCCTTGTATTTTATATCCACATTAGTGGCCTGCTGCACAAAATTGGTGCGGGGGGAAGGGGGGGTGTCCCTCAGCCCAGCCTGCACCCTCTCCAATCTGGGACCCCTTGGAGGATGTCTGACTGACAGTTTAGGCCCAATCCCAAACCGGCAGTCGAACATCCCTCCTGCAATCCAGGACCGCTGGCTCCTAACCCTCACCTGCCTGCCTGCCTGATCACCACCGTGCCTGCTGGCCTGCTCACCTTCAACTGCCCCCGCCCCCCCCCCGCCCGCCTGCCAACCTGCTCATCCCCAAATGATCCCCCTTGCCGGCCTGCTTGCCCCAACTGCCCTCCCCTCCTGGCCTAATTGCCCCTAACCACCTCTACCTCGGCCCTGCCACCATGGCTTTGTCTGAAAATATGTCCAGAAGGTCTCCCGGACTAATTAGCATATTACCCTTTTATTAGTATAGATATTAAATGTTCAAACTTACTTTAAATAAAAGCTAAAAATGGAGAAAAAGAAAAAAGGGGTCTCATACTGAGAGAGGAACTAGTAAAGTGAGAACATATATATTCCAGCAAAATGTATCATTTGTCTAGCAAAGCAAAAATTAAACCTCTGTTAAAAAAATTTTTTTTAATGTTTTAAGATATTTGTTGTATTCAAATACAGAACTAACCTTAAGGGCACGAGCACGAAACAAATAAAGGTACAGGAATCAAAACAGAAAATTCATTGTTTTATGCAGTAAGTTTTACCTTTGATTTGCAATCTTTAACCTTACTACTATAAGCTTGAATTAAATAGCCTACTTAGACCTCCCAAATGACCAGCATTTGTGGATTTTAAACCCAGAAAGAATTTAAAGTAAACTTGACCTCAGTCTTCTCACCACTGTATTTTAAAAAGGAGAAATCTTACTTACCATTGTTAACATCCTCTATTACCTGACAAGTATTAATTAGCTAGTGTAGTTCTATTCTATTTTAATATCTATTTTTAAAATTTCAATAGAAGAAAACATTTTTCACATGTCAGGTAAAATACTAATATCTAATATACAGTATATATTTTGCAGATGCATTATACATGTTTTGCTAATTCATTATATAATAAACTTTTATATAATTTTTCAAATAAAAATTTAATATTAGAATTCTAAAGGATAAAGGTGGAAATGTATTTAAAAATATAAGCAGATTCCTTAACATTCAAAAACATGTAATTATTTTTAAAATCCTCTGCTAAGATAGCCAAGATATATTATGAAAAAAAAGCAATTTACAAAATATGGATAGAAGACACTTGGTAAAATGTATATGGATACAAAATTATTTATGTATATATGTGCATATACAATTATCCATATATACACATATGTATTTATAAAAGCTGAAAGGATACCAAAGAGAGAGAGAGGGAGAGAGAAAGAGCAGTACAATGGGACAAGGCAATGGCAGTGTGTTCAGAGGTAGCAGGGCAGTGTCTGCTTTTCTGGTTATACCTTTGCATATTGCTTAAATGTTTTCAAAACCATGGCCACATAAGAACAATACTTAAGATAAATATTTTCAAGACCTAATTCAAGTCCACTATATCTCCCTGAGGCAGGAAAAAAATACATTTGTGGAGACAGTTTCTACATTTACTACTCGTGCAGGAAGCAGCCAATTAATGATTCTCTCTCATCATTGATGTTTCTCTCTCTCTCCCTCTCCCTTCCTCTCTGAAATCAACAAATATATATTTTTCTAAAAAATTAACTACACATAGATATATGTGTTTATATCTTAACCCTTAATTCTATTCCATTGATATACATGCCCTTATGCCCCTTCCATACTGTTGATTACAGTATCACTTGAGTAAGTTTTATTAATCATGAAACATGAGTTCTGTGACTTTTTTTTTCTAGGTTATTTTGGAATTCAGGGTCCCTTGAAACTCACTATGAATTTGAGAACTGACTTTTCCAGTTCTGCACAAAAGGTCATTGAAATTTTTATAGAAATAGCATTGAATCTATAGATCACTTTAGGTGCCAGGAGCCGGTCCATCCTTGCTGCTTGACACAGTCGCTGCAGGGAAGAAACATCTGCACAGCATATGTTTCAAGGGACCTGGCGTATATATTCTTAATGTTTGCTCACCTTGGCGCTATGTGTTTTAACAAAGGTCACCTCTCCGAGAAAGGTTGTTTCCCCAGGTATGGATTTTTCCCTGGAGTTAGGAAGGGAATAAAACCCCTCATTCTAAATGCCAGGCAGGTAATTAATCACTTTAACTATGAACAATCACGCTTAAACTACATAATCTTTACTTAGGATAATCTCCTTACGTTAC